AAAAAAAAAGGCAGGCCTCACGTAGGTAGATCGATTGTTTTCGTCTTGTTTGATTCATTATTACTGAATGAATATGTCTCTATCTTATGAATTGTCCAGGTATTACAACAATGCATATTATGCTAAAGTAGGAGGAATCAGCACAATAGAGATGAACATTCTTGAAGTGGATTTTTTATTTGCATTGGGATTTCATTTAAATGTGACCCCATCAACTTTTCACTCATACTCTTCTCATCTCCAAAGAGAGATGATGATCATGCAGTTGCAGTTGCAGCCTCAGCCTCAGATCAACCTTTCAGAGGACCCCTATTTATTATATAACAATGCTAAATCGTCGTCGTCATCATCATCGAATAAAATTATCCATTTGTGTTTTGATGAAGATGAATCATCATCCCATCAACAGCAACAGCAACTTGCTGTTTGACCATCATTGCATTTTTAAAATATTCCATTTACTGTAGTTAGGTTAGATGAAGGGTTTCTTTCTTTTTTCTTTTTTTTCTTTGCATATGGAATTTTGGTTTGGCAATTTGGGTCATCACTGTACTTTGTGGCCTCATAGGATCTCTCTTGTTTTCTTTTGTTTTTTCATGTTTATTAGTGAATGTTTTCTGGGGAGTATTTTGAATGTACATTGAATTGTTTCTTGTTTGTATTATCCCAATTTATACTCAGTGATCGGTTGGCTCTTGTCTGCATTCTTGGCATTTGTAATTAGCCCATTGTTAATTCTCCTGTTTGCTCAAATTTTAAGCTGGGTTAAGTTCTATGCTGTTCACCCGTAGTTAAACAGTTTCCATATTACTCGTCGTGAGGACAAAACAGAATTTCTCCAAGCATAAAACATGCATCTGTCAAGTCCTACTTGATGATATCCACATAGTTTTGAAAGAGAATCCAAACTTTATGATAATAATAATAACAATGCAATGAAACTTGATAGATAGCCCAGACAAGTTCTGCTGGTGCTTTGATGTTTCATGAAAAGAAGAAAAGATAAAAAGCTGAAAGTAAATGGTATTGGCCCAAAGAGGAAAGGGACATATGAAATGGGAGAGTTAAAGAGAGTAGTACAAAGTGGTGGTGGCTTTGTGGTATGGTGATTTTTGGACTTTGAAAACAAGAAATGTGTGTAAGTTGACAGTTGTATTTGATTCTGTGAAGGGAACATAATGCATGTGCTATTATTATTATTATTATTGAATCACTCACTATACATACATACACAACTTAGTGCCCTAAAATTACCAAAGTGCATGTGCCAACTTGAAAAGTGAGATTGGGACAAAGACACTAACACAGTTCTCTCTTCACAGTCTTGTTGATCCAAGATTGATTTGTTTTAGGTATTATTATTGTTGTAAAGGATAGTTTAAACTAATACACCTAATTATTACATGGATTTTTATCAAGGAAGATAATGCTTCAAGTCAAGGTATATCTTTTAATCTATCTACTATATAATTAGACAACTCATTTACTATTTTTGGAAAGTTGTATGTGGGTCCTACAACACTATTACTATTTATGAAAAAGTCTCACAATTTTTGACAAGTATTACTATTTATCTTATTACTATTACCTCAACTAATATTTGTTTATTTTTTATATCAATTTAACATCAGTTTTTCATTTTTTTTTTGTTTTTTTTTTTTTT